GCCAACTCTGTTTTTTGTGCGTCTGACTCTGTTTTGTTTATTTTATCTTTTTGGCTGATTTTCTCTATAAATATCGTATTAAAAACTCCGTTTTCAAGGATCTACAATCATCTACAATCATCTACATTCACTAATTCTCCCGATCATTCACCGACAATCAGTTTTCTCTAATTCATTCATCTCTTCATCTTTCTCTTTTTCTAAACCTTGCTTTTCAAATACAAAATTCCGCATTCACAAGATCTAGAAACACCTAGCCATATTCGAAGTTTCCTTCGCCCTAGACGTGAAAGGTTTTAATTTCCGAGGGTTTGGTCCCAAATCTCTATTTCAATTATTCAATTTAATTGTTTTGTTTATTATTTTCCTTGAATTTACTAAAGTGTCTATTTTATAATTAGAAAGAGGTACGAGGCATCCAAGTAAGTACTTTAATTGATTTATTGATGTTATGATGTAGAGATCATGTTTATATTGTTATTATGATATTCCTAATATCATGTCTAGGGTAATTTTAATATTAAATATGATTGTTATGATGCTTCCTATTTTGTTCCTAATATTTTTTATTGTTAGTATCATGTTAGGGTTAAAGATTTGATTTTTATTGCGTAGTGACATGCTAGGGTTTGTTATTAATCTTGTTAGTATCATGCCTAGGATCTTGCTATTTTTATTATACTTTAATATTAATATGAACATGATTGTGATTATAATTGTTATAATTTATGATGATTATGAATATTATTATTTTATTTATGATGATTATTATTATGATGATTATAATTTTATTGTCGTGATTATGATTATTATTATGTTGCTTGATATTTATTGTTATTGCTTGATCACACCTTTTATGCATGTTTAAAGGGAATTTGTACTTGTAATCACGCTTAATAAGATAATTAATAATCTTATTTAGGGTTAATTGTGATTATAATTTCAAGTGATCGCCAATAATAGATTTATTTGTGCATTAATATTCAACCAACATAGATAAACAGGTTTAGGTTTAACCTATTGATTGCATGTTAATTAAAAAGCGCACATGAATACGATCAGAATAAAGTAGAGGCCTATTATTAGGGTAGGTTCAATCTCTTTTAGGTTGGATTTGTACCTTCATCCCCGAACCCTTATTTGGTTCAAGACCTTATGGAGTTGACGATCTCTTGGATCGTTAAGGGGTGTAACCTTCACCTCGCGAACGGTTTACAAGTTCCTAAAAACTTGTTGGCGACTCTTTTGCTCTATCTTCTTCCCTTATGGACGTCACCGTACTTTAGTGTATGATCACAGTGGGGTTCAAGCTAGTGGGATTAAGGCTTGAAATCATTCCCTACACTACCATAAATCCAAAAATCTCTTTTTTGGTAGTACCAAAATCAGCTGGAATGCCCAGATACACACCAAATTTGTTGCTTCTGCACATGCCCATAGTGTTGCTAAAGTTAATAATATCCTGCTCCTTAGAATTAGGACTAGCAAGGAGCACTAATTTGGCTTGGCTAATAACCTGGCCAAAAGCCTTGCAGTAAGTGTCTAACACTCTCTTTAAGGATGCTACACTGCTTTCTTTCCCTTGAATGAAAAAAACCGAGTCTTCAGCGAGGAAAAGGTGACTAATTTTAGGAGCTCTTTGCGCCACACTTAAGCCTACAATGTTCCCAGACCTTTCTTCACACCTAATCAAACCAGACAAAGCCTCCATACACAAAATAAATAAATAAGGTGATAAGGGCTCTCCTTGGCGAAGTCCACACCTTGGCTTAAAGGGCTTCTGAGTGCCACCATTGATAATCACAGAGAAGGAGACCGAGCGAACACAATTCATAATGGTTTTCACCATTAAGCTAGGCAAGCCAAAATTGCATAAAACTCTTACCAAAAAAATCCCACTTGATTCTGTCATACGCTTTACTCGTGTCTGTCTTAATAGAAATTTTACCCCTAACACCTTTTTTAGTTTTCCTGATATTCTCAAGCAGCTCATGGGCAAGCAAAATGTTGCCTGAGATAGCTCTCCCGGGAATGAAGGCGTTTTGACAGTGGCTTACTAAACCAGAAATCACTCTTCTTAGTATATTAGTGATACACTTAGAGATGATTTTGTAGCTAACATTACAAAGTCCTATCGGTCTCAATTTATCCATTGAACCCGAATTGTCACACTTAGGAATTAAAGCAATGCTAGTAAAATTGAGTACTCCCAAAAGATTATCTGAGGTTAGTGCCGATTTCACAGCAGCAATTAAATCGTCTTGAATCCAAGACCAATTTTTCTGGTAGAAACCTGTTGGTATCCCATCCGGGCCTGGCGCCTTCCAGGGTTTCATTGCGAAGAGGGCGTTTTTTATTTCCCTTCTTGTGTATGGCTTTGAGAGCATGTCCTTTTGATCCTCAGGGAGCGAGGCAGTGATACCCTCAACACCTCTATCAATTTCGTCCTCCCTAGTCTGTGACTGAGAAACCAGGTTGCATTCATATAAATTTTGAAAATAATTCATCGCAATTTCTGAAATTTTCCCTTCCTCCGTCGTCCAATCTCCATTCTCATCTTTAATAGCTTCCAAATTGTTTCTCGCCTTCCTTCCTTTAACAAAATTAAAAAAATACCTTGAGCAAGTATCCCCTGCGTAATCCCAGTTTAATTTTGCCTGTTGTCTCCAGTAAATAGCCATATTCTCGAGTATTCTTCCATTTGTTTGCTGACTCTCAAGAAGTCCTCTACCTCTCCTTCACTTTCCAGTAACAATTGTGCTTCAAGGATATCTTTTTCAAACTTATCCCATTCTCCATTCCAATCACATCTTTTATCAAGACTCCATCTTTTAATTCCCAGTTTCACTTGTTGTGTTTTCCGAGCCAATTTATGCATCGAGGAACCCCTTTGTGTTTTATTCCAATTTTCACGTGCCACATCAATGCAGTCTGCATAATTTAGACTCCATCTTTCTAGCTTGTAATTGCTCTTTTTCCTTGGTACAATAAGGTGGGTTTGACAAATAATCGGGGCATGGTCTGAGATTTGGATCGGTTGATGGTTAATAATCGAGTGAGGGAAAAGAGTGATCCACTTTTTGTTTGCGTATCCTTTGTCAAGTCTTTCAAGAACCAAATCCTCTCCCTCCCTTCCATCAGACCATGTATATCTAGGTCCTTGGAAATTAAGATCATGAAAATTATTTAAGTCCTTCCAATCATTAAAAATGTAGACTCCTCTAATAAGGGAGGAGTGTTGACCCGTTTTATCAAGGTGGGAATCCACTTGATTAAAATCCCCTACAATCACAATTGGCAAATCAAGAGAAGGACTAGTCTAATGGTTAAGGCGATCCCAAACTCCGCCTCTAAGCGAAGTGCAAGGCTCACCATTCACCAAAATCAATCTCCAATTTCCATTAACAACATCATTGACGTTTACAACAAGGAAATTGACACAAGAGAAAACAACATAAAAAAGAGACTTATTTTTCCAACCTAACCAAAGACCTCCACTTAAACCCCTAGCATCGACACCTTTAAAATAATTAAAACCTAAGCTTCTTAAGCGATTAAAAACTAAGACCGAGATACATTTTGTTTCCACAAGAAAAATAAAATCCGGTCCAAAAGACCCAACAAGTTGCTCTAGATTTGGAATTATCGGGGTTGTTGGGCCTTTAATACCCTGAAAATTCCACAAAAGACCAATCACTGAGCTAAAGGCGGTTGAATTGGGTCAACCATCGCAACCCCATCACCTGCATAAGTAATAGTAAGGCAAGCAACAAAGGAGAGAGAAGGACCTGGCCCAAGCCCAAGCTTAGAAGTGGATGGTCGAGCAGTTGATCCATCATCAATTAGATCTTTCCCTTTTTTGTTAAGTCTGATCATGTGAGAGTCAGCATCATCTTCGGTCTCCTCTATAAATTGGATAGAGACGAGGTCAAGATCTAAGATAGCTTTTCTTTTGAGAGGACAATTCCCCTGCTTGAATCTCCTCTTGTCTTTCCCTTTAGTAAATCACCTATTTCTCATCCTCCTTCCTCTTCTATCCCTCTCTCCCCATCTTATGAAGAGGATAGCGCTATCAGACATTATCTCAGATGGTGCTTGAGTATCAGTATCCTTGTTTTCCACAATAACAAGCTCCAATTTTTCAATTTGTGGGCGAAGATGAGAAGATAGATCTGGCTGAGCGTCCATACTATTTTCCTCTATTTGGTTGTCTTCAGCAACTTCGATCTCGAACTCCCCTGCCCATGGGTTCAAGGGGTCCTCCGGAATCTGCCCGTTTGGAAAAGCATCTTCCTCTTCTTCACCTTGAAAGTCCATCGGGTCATACACCGGCGAGTCTGGTTCCCTGATCTCCACCGCCCTTGGATTATTTAGAGCATCCAATTCAACGAAAAAACGTTGATTATATCCAGAATTATCTAGGCGTCTACCATAAATTTCATCATTCAATTCCACCCTTGATTGTATCGCCGAACTCATTAGCACATCGAAGCGAATCTGTTCAATTTCCGGCCCGTAATGCGGGGCAGCAGCAACCGAATCAACACCCTGCACGATTGAATCGGCTCCCCCTGTTCTGGATCTGCCGCCGTTGCATTCTGGTAAGGATCTCCCCCCACCACATTCATATCAGGGTTTCCTTCCGGAATAACCCCTACTCCTTGAGCGACCTGCACCCCGGTATTAATCCCCGGCGTAGTACCTCCCTCCTCAACTTCCATTGCTGCCGCTGCGTTTTGGTGATTCGAGTGTAGCGAAGCCCTAGCACCTCCCACCACCGGTCCTCTAAATGGCGCACCCCTGACATTGAAATTTTGCCCTGGTTGGACTGTCCTCCCCCCATTCTGAATACCCAAATCAAAATCGACAAGTATATTAGAAGCTCTGAAATTTGGCGATTGCGGTCTATCGGGTTCCTCTATCAGCCGCACCCTGGTGGTTATGGTGCGCTCCGACGAGGGGGTGGCCCTCAAATCTAAAGTAAACATAGAGAATCCCTCCTATGCCTCCATGGTGGGAATCCCCCTCGAAAGATACTCCATCATCTTGTGATCAACGTCCAGATTAATGAGGTCTTCGTGTCTCGTGCACCTCGTATACTTGTGGCCAATTCTACCACACCTAGTACAATATTTAAATAGATGTTCATACCTCAACTGTATCCAGATGATGGCATCATCATCTAACTTCAGAAAAAACCCCGGTATAAGTGGTTCTCCCAGGTTGATCATTACACAAATCCGGAGATAATCGTTCCTAGGAACGAAGTTAGGTTCCCAGTCGATTTCATAGGGCATGCCTAGCATTTCCCCTGTAGTTTTCGCCATGTGAGAATTGAGGTATTCACATGGCAGTCCACATATTCTAATCCAAAATTTAGCCCTTCGGAACCTCACTGTTTGAGGCACTTGATTAGGCCACCATGGAGAAAAAACCATCAGCGCTCCGTCGAAGCAAGCCTTAGTCATGGCTAGCATCTCCCTTTTGTCCTCATCATCTGAGCATTTGAACACATAGAGATCGTTCATTTTGAACACCTCAATGTGGCCCCTCTTCCTCCATCTAGTATTAATGAAGCTGCTTATAGATTGCACACTGAGGCTACGGTAGTCCATAAGGTACCCGTACACGCATTGCTGCCAATAAGCCCCGCTCCCTTGTACTCTGTGAGATTCAATTTCAGCCAAGGGAGCAGCTCTGTTGATGTTAGTACTATTGTTTCTACGGTTATTCATGGTTGTGAGGTGAGAATTGCAGGCTGAAAGCAAAAGGGAGAAGAGAATTGAAGAAAGACGGGTGGAAAGGTTGTGGAACAGTGGTTCTATTTATATAAGCCACCATGACAAGGAGGCTATTCAAATTATGTCTTGGTTTAGGTGAAAAAACCATGCAGATTAGCGTTGGAGGGAGCAAAAGTTACCGCCGTAATTTAATTGCCACTCCGTAAAACAAAACGGCTAAAACTTAAATTCTATTAATCTATGTAACGTCGTTAAAAGGAACAAAGGGGAATAAGGGAATAGTTGAAGGTAACGGAACTTGACAGGGAATAAAGCAATTAACACTGTTAGTTAAGAAATGATTACCCTTAATAAAGCTATTGGCCTTTCAGAATGGCACCAATGAAATTGGCCAGATGACATCACAGGGTGAAGGGTAGCTAGTAAGGTTTAGCCGTAGGCACAACTTACCGCAAAACAGGAATGATGAGCTGAGAACTAATTAGGCGACAATAATTGGGTGTCCACCACCCTAAGAATACTCTTTTGGAGAAGCTCTATTTCTAGAGTGAGAAGCTCTCTTTTAGAGAGAGAAAGGACCAAGACGCATGGAGGCAGTATTAAAATAACATAATAATTTTATAAACTTGGAGTACCATGCGCACGGTACTCCAAGAGTAGCATAGAATTTGCGAATTATCCTTATTCTCCAAATTTATTCCCTAAAATGTCCCCCAATTGTCCCTAAATCAGTTTATTTTTGCTTTTTCCATTTAATGGTTGCACAGAAATATTTTTCTCTCTCTTTCCTCCCTGTTCTTCGATAATTTGATTATCCATGTGCAGCATATTAAATAAATTTGATTGGTCCTTTTTTTTCATAAACAAACGTAATTGATATTTTTTCTTCTAAAAGGATTGCCGACATATGTGCAACATTTAATTTCATTCTGTTTTGTTTTATTCAAAGACAACAATAATTCCCTTTGTGCTTCCCAATCATGGGGTTTAAGGATATTCCAAGTTCTTTATTTCATGTATATATGTTTATTGTATATATTAATTGTGGGACGGATAAAGTAGAATACTCCCTCTGTTCCCAATTGTTTGCTTCTAACCATAAATTTACTTTATTAAGGCTTTGGGCAAAAAATGGTGCATATAGGTTGACACAAATATCAATAAGGAGAGAGATAGAGATAGTGCAAGTGGAAAAACATGCCAAAAGAAATATGGGGCAATCTTTTGATGACACCTTAAAAAGGAAAGTGGAGCAAACAATTAGGGACAGAAGGAGTATATATTAATTGTAAAATTAACTTCCGTAAACCTTATCAACCCTTGTCAATTAATATTATATAAACTAGTACGTACCCCGGGCGATGCCCCGAGTTCCCTCCGCAATATATATCTTTATGTTTTAAAAATCCTTACATTAATTCGCTACTTATAAAGACGGGTTAAAGTTCTGTTAAAAGTATTTAAAAGTTATAATTATTTATCTTATGCGTGTCACACTAATTCATATTTGTTGTTTACATGACGTGACACTTGGCGAAAAATCAAAATGCCAAGTTTTGTTTTGGTTGATTAAAGTGTATCACAAATAAGTCTTGTTTTGTACAACTTTATAAATTTTATGATATAAATTTAATTTAACATATTTATAAGATATATTTTTAAAGTTACAATCTACTTATTCATATGGAAAATTAGAAGTCCTATCAGAAATAAAACTATAAATAACTTTTTATCAGAAATAAAACTCTAAATAACTTTTTTTATCTTACAAAAATCTATTTTAAATTCTCTTATCTAGCGTTATATGTCGCCTACGTGGCACGACACTTGGCGAAAAGTTAAAGCGCCAAGTGTCGTTGTCCCGTGGCCTAGCTAAAAGTTTAGCTTTATATATTAGTTATACAATATTGACTTTCCAATGAGATCTTTTTTATGCATATGACAATATTATTAATCAAAATTACGCACATGAAATACTTAGAACTTTTCGAGTTTCATCCACTCATTCTAAATCATTGCCGAAATAAATTTTAGGAATTAAAATAAAAATCCTCCCCAATGGAGTCGCCAAACAGAGTAACAACCAATAAAGTCTTATTAGCTTGTGTCTTTTCTGGAGAAAAGCTAGCTTTCTACTAGTCAACAAGAATAAAACGGATATCCAAGCACCTATGACTACTTGAACATTCTTAATTAATAGCTAATGGAAAAGTCAGTTATAAAATATGGCCATTGATAACGCTAGGCCTTGAAAGATGAACTTATGTTACTTATCCAATTTAATTTGAAGAGGTCAAATTTGATAGAAAAGAAGGAAAGCTACACTAGAATCACATTAATGAAACGAATGAAACACCAATCATCTTCAACCCTCAATAAAAATTGTTTGAAAGATTTGAAAAATGGCATCCTTACTACCTTTATTAAAGAAGGGTTCATAAGTTATGTGTAATAGCATTGATTAATTGATAGCAATCTTTTTAATTATTTGGACCATCTTTAGAACTTATGCAACCACGCAAAACACAAGCACATCAACAATTATATTTTGTATAAGCTTGTGAAAACTAAATAGTTCATGTCACATTCAAACAACGTTAACATAAACATACAAAGTTGTTATCGATAAGCAGATAGATGATTGGTACGATCATTTAATAAGTTTATAAAGCAAACAAGTTCTTCTTAGCTTGCACATGTACGCAATTTTTTTTTTTTTTTTTTTTGACAATAGCAAATAATGTACGCAAAATATTGAATGAAAAATGGTCGACGATCAAGGGAAATCAAAATTAATGTGGGAAGGAAAATTTAGGGCCTGTTCATATTTACTTAATTTCAGTTCAGCTCCAATCAGTTCAGTTCAACTCCAATAAGTTCAGTTCAGTTCAGCTCCTAATTTCCCTCTCTCATAAAATATTCATTTCAACTCAGTTCAGTTCAGCTCCAATCAGTTCAGTTCAAATAAATTTAGTAAAGTCAATTGAATCCGAACCAGTAAATAATCACTAGTAATACATGGGCCACATGGCTCATGTTGGAAACTGTTTTTCATACCACAAATATGTTAAAACTTTTATGTCATATTCTTTATAAAAGGGTAAATTGTAGGACTTGAAAATCGACGCAAAACTAGAGTCCAAAGTTATTATATTTGGTGGAGTTTTAAGGCCAAGAATAGACTACGTTGTTGACAAACTGAATTTATGGGAAGAGGTAGAATTGCAAAGTACCATTACTCCTTATTTATTATATCCTAGAACAAATATAATGAATTGAAGCCAAGCATCACCAAAGTAGACTAGTTTATGAAAGCGCTACCACAAGCAATGAGAGGGGAACGAATGACCACAAAATTTTCGAACCTAGGTTAATTGTTCATAAAAGATAGATAGATACGTTATTGCATATTTGCATGACAATTGAGTTATTAAACCGAGAAGTATAAAGCCCCACAAGTTGGTAAGCAAAAACATGAAACCCTAAACCTGTTAAACTCAAAGAAATTAGGAGAAAACGGCTTAGCCTTTTGCATTGATAATTATCATATATATACACAATACATTAGGAAATTTAATTAGCCTAAAACTCCTAAAAAGATAAACTTAACATAAATACAATATTAACATAAATACAACCAAACCGACTCTAATACTCCCCCTAAAGTTGGAGCATGTAAGTCACAAATGCCCAACTTGCGTAACAGAAAACCAAACTGTTGACGTCCAAGAGCCTTGGTGAGAATATTGTCAACTGATGACCTGTCGAAACATATGAGGTAGAAATATTACCGTTTATCAACTCATCACAAACAAAATGACAGTCTAACTCTATATGTTTCGTACGTTCATGAAACACTGGATTCTTAGCGATATGCAAAGCCGACTGATGAACAAACCAGGATCGAGAAATCTCTAAATTTTAGAGAGGTTGTGATACCATGTTAAATTCAAGGAATCTGGAGAAAACGGCTTAGCCTTTTGCATTGATAATTATCACATATATATACACAATACATTAGGAAACTTAATTAGCATAATTAAAAAGATAAACTTAACATAAATATAATATTAACATAAATACAACCAAACCGACTCTAATAAAACCCCCAATGTAGGCCGACACCAATTATTTGCAGCAACTAGTGCTGAGCAAAATTATCCGAAATTTTGAAATCAGAAAACCTAGTCAAATCTAATATTTAATCTGATGGCTAGGGTAACCAATCCGATAACAAAACTGGTTGGGGAACTAGATCCAATAATTCATTATCTTGTACGATTACCATTAATTGATGACTAGTAGCAATAGTTTATAAGTAGGTAATAATTAAGAATTAACGTATTGGGCGAAACGATCTAATATAGACATTTCTTCATTTAAAAATATTCAACCAAAACCTAAACGTACTCCTACATACTAAACTAAATTTTTTTGTTTAGTTGACTTTAACTTATTTTAGCTATACTAAAATTATTTTATTGATGAATTAAAATTATAATTATCAAATGTTGGTCCATTTATTTAAGATGAAAATAACACGACTTTAAACTTATTTAGTTATTTTTATTGATCAACTCATTTTTACTACATCAATAATAATGAGATTTTTTTTTTGTTTTTTTTTGTGTGTGCATTTTAGGCGTACTTTTATAATAAATACACATGATTATACACTACCCAATTTCTATCATAGAATACTCCTTCCGTTTCAGTACAAACTCTTAAATGGACCTGGTCCACCTTAATAAATTGTGGACCATTAATATTAGAGACACTATGTCTGTTTTTTTAAATATGGAAAAAGCTAGGGAATAGCCTGGAGGCGTTGGATAAGCTAGCTAAAAGTAGAAAGATTAAAATTAAAATGAATATTAATTACATCGATCGACGCGTGATTTTGTCATGCTTTCCCAAATTAATACCATTTTAGGCAATATTTTAAATGTTTATCCAACGCCCCGGAGGCGTTTGTTAGCAAGATCCTTTTAATA